TGACCATTTTTGGGTATTTGTACTGCGCGCGCCGTCGTCAAGTGACGTTCCCGTTCTCTTGCTAAATCAGCCTATTAACACTAATAGACCGGAGATTGATTCTTGTAAATGTACGTGACGTTCGGCATTATTTGCAATAGATATTAAATGTCGAAGGAGAATTTCGGAGACTGAAATAAGCCTCGGGCAAATAAACTACACTAATTAGGGCCTGAAATATTAGCCTCGGCGCCAAACATGAAATTGTGTGCGAAAAGTCTCCAGAGAATCAAAATGGCGTCGAGAACACGAATCGTCAAAATAGGCGCATTGCTTCTCTCGTAGTTTGACCTTTTATTGGCGCTCAATTTTTAACTTTTTGGGATAGTAACACCCTACAATGATGATGGAACTGAAACGAAACCTGTCTCTTAGCCAGAAAGACGTACTTGCATGTAAAGAATATATGTCCTCAAGCTTGCCGAGTTCATGGCCTCCCCGACAGCCTCGTGCTGTTTAACCTTGTCTCGATGTTCTTATATTCCATCTGAGCTTTAAAATTAGAGGGAGTCTCTATTTTATCGCCTTTATTCCACTGAGATAGCTTCTACTTCGTAGCGGCAGTCATCTTATTTTCTGCTTTTCAGCCCGGGCTGAAATTCCGTTTCCATTACATGGGATTTTTTCAGACTTTTCAGCCCGCGCTGAATTGCGGCCCGGGATGAAGCCTTCTCCATGTAATCGCCAATTTGATTTCATGAGAATTTGTTTCAGAAGCCGGGCAGAAATTTCAGCTCGGCTTACCGGGCTGAAATTCAGCCCGGACTGAAATTCGCCATGTAATCAGGCCCTAAAACATCCTTTTGTTAAAAAATAAATAAATAAACAAATAAATTAATTAAACGTGCTTTCCTGATCAGTTTTAATTTCTTTTTAAAAAATTCCAGTAGGCAAATGAAATAGATTTTAACTTAGTGAAGCGAGTAAATTTGTTCTGTGTGGTTTTTGTACTTCAATTTACACCCCAAAACATTCAATTTGTTTTTTCAGTGAGAAGTCGCCCTATGAATTCGACTAATTCAACCGCGAAAATATCACAAAAAGGGCTGTTTAGTAATCGATAACGTTTATTTCGCTCTTGCATCTCCTAGAAACGGTATATATTAGTCTCTTCCAGTATTATGCGCGTCGCATGATGTCGGCAAGTTTGCGAAGATCGTCATCTGCATCTCGTGTAAGTGAAATCACGGCCATGCGCGACGACTGCAGCGTTCGTTCAGGATGTCGTCTTCACCTAAAATGATAAGAAGTTAAAATACCGCAAGCCACACACTGTATGCACAGCTGAACGAGATCTTTCTACGTAAATCATCCCGCATTGTTCACTAATGTTTTGCGTAATTTGCCCGTTGTGTTTCACTATTCATTTCAGCTAGTTAAAGTCTTTATTAATTTTAAATTACGTTCTACTTTCTGGAAACAGACTGTAATTTTATCTTCACGACTGACGGAAAACACGAAATTTAAAAAAATTTATCCTTTTCAGTCAGTTATGGTCTCTCTGAGTTCGGTTGAGTCTACGCGAAACTTGGTGAAATGTTGATAAAAGTCACTGAATTAACTTAAACTTCTCCAAGGATAAAAAATAAGGTTTGTTTTACAATTCTGTTTGTAGCGAGCAAATTGGGACATCTTTATCAAATTTTAATATCTTCCCTCAGTTCTACTACCTCTACTAAGTAAGTTATTCCGTTTTCGGAGTTTTGAAAGGCCAATCAGTCTGGTTTTAGTGGGTTTTTTTCGAAGCCGTATTTTTCGCTTAACAATGATATTTCAGTTTTAGCGCCGGTTTGAAAGAAAATTGCATCGCATATTTAAGGAGCAACTGGTCGTATATATTTACATTACAAGGAGAAAATTTAGTTCTCTTATTAGCAAATAAACCCAAACGAAAATAAGAAAACAAATGAAGCTGTTAAAGCGAATGAAAGAAGTAATCAGACTTGCGTAGGTTGGTTTCAAAAGATGCCTTTGTTTGGTATGTTAATGCTACCGAAATCAAACTCTGATCAGTCTTCAAAATAGAGTAATAATTTGTTGGTTGTTTGCTGAAGCAATGGAAATCCTTCTATAATGAGCTGAAGTTCATACGAGCTATCAGTTACCAAATTGCTTTCATTTATGGTGCTAGCGTGTTCGTTAAAAGCCCTTTAGTTTTCAGCGAGTTTAGGAGGCAATTGGGCTTCACATAAAGGATCAGTTTCGAGTGGCTTGGCTCAGATTTCGGCGACGAGTGCGGATTAAAGTGATTTTGAATAGTGTGTTTATTGCAACCTGTTCTTTTGTTTTGCTTGACAGACTTGACAGATAACGTGGAATAACTAAGAAAATATTGTTGTTACCCGTGGAGCAAGTCGACTGTTGTGGACTTTTGAGAGATTCAGTGAAGAGGAACTGATAAAAACCCATCAAATGCTGCGCTACGAGCCGATGGCTGTGGAACTCAGACTATCAATTAAGTGAATTCTGGAACAATTTTCAACTTGGCTGTTGACCATCCTCAACAAACACACGAGGCAAGGGGATAAAAATATACATTTACTGTGTCCCTCATTTTACGTGATCCTCAACAACCTCCTTCAGTGTCACCGAAGAGGTATTAACTTGTTCAAGTTAGAGGTATAAATTTTGAGAACGTTGAAATTCAAAAAGAACCCTTTTTTTTTTTTACAAAGACTCCAAGTTTTATATGGAGACGTGAATGAAGATTATCTCGAGAAGACAAAGACAGCGCCACGAGACAGGTCTTTTCAAAAAGGTGTGACTTTGGAGAGTATTCTTTGAGAATTAAAATTTGATGAGCTGTATGTAAAAGATCAGCTTGATGAAACATTAATAAACCCTGCCTTGCAAAATCACCATTATTCACTTCGCTTGAGTGCCGAGATTTGTTTGCAAAAGGAAAAATAAATCCTTCTTTGCTTTCGTCTGAGAAAAGACGGAAAAGATGTAATTGGAAGAGTGAACCTTTCAGAAAATCGTCCTTTGAAATTGCGCGTTCTATTTTACGGCAATGCCGATAAAATTCACCACCTTTTGTAAAGAGATTTATGCCGAACAGCTTGGAACAATTTAGATCCAATATTTTAAAAATCTCTGCTTTTTATCTTCCAAAATGAAGTAACTAATGTTACACTGTTAGAAATATTGTGTTGGCAAATACAATTTGTTACCTGTAAATTAGAATGCACAAAGATTTATGGACAAACGGTGACGGCTAAAAACCCGCATTAGGTAATATTTCAGTGTACAGGAACAGAGATTTCAACAAGTCACGACAGAAAATTCTGAAAAAAATAACACTTGTTTACTGCTGTGGAATATTTCATATTGTCGGGGTGTTGTGTAGTTTCAGTAATATATTGAAGAATTCCACTTTGCTTCGAAGCTTTAGCTTTTAACAAAAGAGCAACTTCTAAGAAGCCAATGAAATGCGGCGGCTTTTCTTGGTCTTACTACCATGGCAACACAATGTTAGGTTCTGCAGCTCTCGAAATTATTTTTTGTCTCTTGACAAAAGGAAGAAATGAGTCCTTTGACACGCCTTGTCGGTATTGGCTGGCGGGTGTCTTTCACACCAGTCTCAATCAAGAGCTGCGGGCATTCAACACACAATTGGACAGCTTTGCAAACGCGTCCTCTATATTTGTAGCGAATTTACCAGTTAATTTAGTTTTGAGCAACGAACCTCGAACGCAACAACACGACATGGACCTGGTTCGACATCAATACGTTTACCCGCATCATCATCCGTATCGCCTGGGAGGTATGAGATATGGAGCCGTATCACCTTATCAAGTGGTGACCATCCCCCGTTGCACCTGCGAGTGTTACTGCGAGAGGAATCGAGTGCAGTTTGTCGAAGGTGAATCTAGGAACTTGTCGGACCCCGCTAGAGAAGGACGAGGCAGGGATATGGATGACCTTAAAAACGGTATGGTCAGTTTCAAGCTACGTTGTACTATAACTGAGTTTCTTTCCTTTACATTATCAGCGAATAAGCAATATAAATGTTTACCAAGTTCTCACTGAGAAGTTCTAAACGAGCCTTTTTGCGGGTTTTAAACATCCGGTTTTATCAAAACACGGTATTTAACACGATTTAAACGATGATTACTGCAATTAGTAGGTTCATTTTCGGCCGGTCCAATATCGCTGATCTGGCTTTGTGTGATTTTGTGACTGAGAAACGGCAATGAATTCAACTGAAGAACCAGTCCAAAATGGCAGTCTTCGCCTGATGAAATTTTGACTAAAACATTATCACTGAATATTTGCGTCCTTGATTTACTCAAGGAGTGGCTGCATTGAGTCAAAATATAGGTTTTTCGTGAAGAAACTTACTGTCAAAGCTTGCATTGCTAAGTTTCTTTAGGGCTCGAATAAATCCAGAACTAACTTTCATTAGAGAAAATTCAAGTACCTAATTGTCTTCAAAGCACAAAAACAGTTGCCTTCTGTTGCAGAGGTTAATCTTTTCCACTTCGATATGGTTTTGTTTCGGAAATGTTTCGATTTCAATGAACAATAGTTCGGTAGCTTTAATAATGAACTTTGATTTCTGATCTCACTTAAGTACTTTTGTGATCTCTCTTTTCCGGCTGATAAGAGGCTAATTTCAGATAAATTTAATCGAAAATTATTCCTCTTTTCTACCACTAATGCAAGAAGAGATTTACGCACTGATATCAAAATTTGAATCGTATATTGGTTTTCCAGCACGCCTACGGCAAATGGGCAGACGTCCCGATATTTCACTAATAGTAAATGTTTTGTTATACATTTCATAGTACAATCCTTCGTGGGCCATGAAACTTTATATCTTGGCATCGTAGTAACTCTCCTTTTTTTTTAAATAAATAATTTTGTTTCTAATAATAAATGCTTATTAACGTATGCAGAATCGTTACAACTTAAAATATACAACATTTTCAAACACTTTCGTTCATAGATTGACTTTATTTCGCCCTTCACCCCCATAAAACTTCAACTTTCAAGCAGTTCTTTTGTGTTGTAAACCAACTGACTTTGTCACTTCTTCGTCAGTTCTATTTCGCTGTTTTTCAAACAGGAGCGTCAAAACTGATCGACTTGAATCAAACGCAGTAAATGTTTTTGACAATGGCCCGGCAAAAGCATCAATTAATTTACGGTATTCGTTTGAAATTCATTTACTAGCTGGCACGCCAGAGAAAAAGGAGCGATCGAATGAAGCAGAAATATCAAGGAAGTCCTTTATTTGATATGAATCTCTTCCAATATGTCACTCTTTTACGGATCGATTTTGACATAAAATTCAAGGTAATTAACTTCCGATCGATACTTTGGTTGGACGATCTTTGTGCAGCTGTCAGCTTATGAAAACAGAAAACCCGCGCCCAACGATCACCCTTGTTTTGAAGAATACACAAAAGCAAGTTTTTATATCAACCTTGATTCAAAAATTCACACCATCCAAGTATTTCTTAATTGCTTCATTAACGCTATAAATGCGGCCTTCGGGCGGTAAAGATATTTCCCTTACGAGAAATTTGCGTCTAGGTATTATAATTGTAATGATCTACGCAAATTGGTCATTTAAAGCGAGGAGGTAACACTTAACCGAATAGTTGCGCTCAAAGGATTCTAGTTTTATAATAATATTCTTCTGATAAATCGTTATTCAGTTTTTCTCTTTCAATGTTGCGGTTTTCTGGTATAATACATATTTTTGAAAGCGAAATGAAAAAAAAAAAAAAAAACCCTGGCAAAGTGTAAAGCCATGCTATCCGAAGGCCAATCAATTTAATTTCGGATAAAATTCGAGATGATACCGAAAGTGTTTTTTTTTATTATTATCATTAAATTATCATTTATTTAACCGATTTTCAACTATTCATTTTAGTTTCTTCATATTTTAACTATAAATTTGTTTTTCTCTGTGATACGCATTTATTTAGGATGCATAAAACAATATTATTTTTAGTGAAATATTTGATGTCAATCACGTTTTCGGCCAACCAAAGAATCCCACTTTTATTTGCCTTTCTCCATTTCATCCGGACAGTTTATTTCAGAGCTATGAAGACGCAAAAAGAAAGAAAGAAAGGACAGATTGAATGCTTGTTTGATTCTCTGGCTGTTTTACTAATCATTTTAAATCGTCTAATTAAATACAAGAAGACCTAGATGTATTTCTAATAATTGGCGATTTTTCCCTGTGCGCGGTTCAATAAATGAACAAAGGCTATAGTCTCGATCTTGATTGATTCCACTGTGAAATATTCTATGTCATAATTTTATCGTGGCATGTCCAGAGACTGTGTTTTACCACCTTGAATACAGTATTAACACATACGTACAGGTGACCGCGGATTTAGCTATTCTGTTGACCTGTGTAAACTAGAGATGTCCAAAGATGCAAATAACGCCGCTTGCTAGTTAAACAGCGCCTCTGGGAGGGACTTCTTTATGTGAATTGGGTTCACAAACAACTTGCACCACTTGATTGACAGCTTACACGGTCGGTACCGTTGATCTCTCTTAGACCTTTCCTGATATGCTGTTAAGTGAAGTGTTGGCCAAGCTATCAAGGGTCCGGATATGTTGGAGTAGCGATAATGATGAAATTAAAACCAGAAATCAAAACCAAATCTCAGTTATGTCTCGAGTTCCGCCGTTAACTTGAATTTAAAGCTAACAAGTGAAGCATTATTGCCAGACAGTTTGCCACAATAAATCGCAAACTGCATTTAACCCAAGTCCTCCAATGTCTTTTCAAAAATGTCATAGAAACAAATTTGAATCTCTGGACTCTTGGGCTCAGCATTCATCGAAAGCTCTGCTCAGTAGCTTTCATTTAAATGGTGACACACTTAAAAGTTATGACCACCTTATACACATGTTCCACATGTTCCATATAGTGCTACCAGTTTTCATTTTTTGTGGTCACACAGTGAGATTGCAACCTCAGGAAGAAAACACGAGTGGTAGTGAAAAGATTAAATCCATTTATTTTAGATCCCATCTTAACCCTCGCTTTACTATATTGTTATAAGTCAACGCACTTCTCATTTTCTCTTCAACAAATTCATATGCGCTCCACTTATTTGTACCGTTTCAATTTTTTGCAGACTTTTGCCACGACAAAACAGGCAGGAGAAACCGAACCACTTACAAAAGATGGCAGATCGATGAACTTGAAAGGGCGTTCTCTATTAATCCATACCCGACCAGTGTATATAAGAAGACTCTTGCACTAAGGCTGGGTCTTAGGGACTCGCGAGTTCAGGTGATAAACTTTCACATATTTCAATTGAGGAGTCGAAGGAAGGGTTTCATTGCCAAAAACGAGCTTTTCACATGCCAAATGGGGTTGAATTCTACTCTAAGGAAACAATACGGTAACAACGTCAAAATACTTCTCAATAGCTTACACTCGGGTTTCATACATGGACTCAAAAGTTACAACCAACTTGCACCACATGAAAGTACTGCTCAATAGTTTTTATTTGAATGGTCACACAAGAAAGTCCCTTCCACAGACTAAGATGATAAAACCGCCTCGGCAGCCAGCATATAAATAAACTGTACCATTAAAAATACTGCGCAATAGCTTTCGTTTGAATGTTCAGAAGGATTTCAACATCAATGGACAACGGTCTTAAAGACTAAGACCACGTTGATTGCTAGGTATATGGTTGAACTCACTTTGGGGTGAAACAGGTCAATATACTTCAATGTTAATGTTTAAACCTAGAAATTAAGATGGTCTTACAGATACACAAAGTTTTAAGATTTTTTTTAAACTGATCTAAACTGATCTGACCGCTCTTTCAGGTTTGGTTTCAAAACCGTCGAGCAAAAGCAAAACGGGAAAGGCATGGCTCGACTGAATGTTACCCCAACGATACAGAGGCTGAACTCACGGAAGAGGAGCAGTCAGCCGACACAGAACATCCGGTTGATGTTGAAGAAAACAAAGAACTCGAACAAGTAGATGTCGATTGAGTCTGTGGTTCTCTTTTACTGCATCTAAGACCAGGCTGAACTAGGTTTGAATCGAAGTGAATTTGTTATATCTTCGATTTAACAATACTGGGGCTTTGTCCTGTTTCAGAGAGTGAAGAATATTTCTACTGAAACAAATAAAAGTGGAGGAACTAGATGAGAACCCTCCTGGAGACGGTTAAAAATCTGCCACATTGCATCAATCTTGGCTTTATGAATAGTTCACAGACTTCTCATAGTGCTAATTTGTCAGCTACTAATAATAATACAACCAGATCATGATGAACGTGTTATGTACAGGAGGTCTGTATATGGGAGAATCTTGACCTCGGTCGTGAGTACAGACCGAACGCAGCGAGGTGTGAACATACGACCGAGGTCAAGATTCTCCCATACAGACCGACTAAGCTCGGTTAATAAGATCTTTATTATATGGCAACAAGAAAAATTTAATTCGTTTAATGTAACTGGTTTGTACTAACTGACACTTTGCTTGTGTTCAGCAATGAGCTGAATCTAATTCCGCCAAACTTCGCTCGTCCTGTTTACTTTTTTTTTCTCATCAGGCTTTTTGGGACTTCCATAAATAAATATTGTTTGAAGAAAATAGCCAATATTTTTGTATTTTAGTTTGCGACTTTTTTGCCGCAAAACATTACCGGTCTAGATGCCGATCTAGATGGGGAAATCTAGACCGCTTTCAATATCCATTTCAGCCAATCAAATTCCTGAATTCGGTTGTTCCCAGTCCTTGTGAGACACAGCCGTATAATAAAAGTTCTTTGTGCTTGATTGATGAACGTCACACTCATACTCACTCTGATTGGCTGAAGCATACGTCACACACGCGTTTCTTGAGCCCTTCATTCAGGTTGATTGATGAACGTCATACTCATACTCACTCTGATTGGCTAGAGCATACGTCACACACGCGTTTCTTGAGCCCTTCATTCAGGGCGCTACCTTCTTTCGCCCTGCTGGTACATTAGTGCAAACAGTTTTGATTTGGACAACGCATAATTACTGACTTATTATTTTAAACTCTTTTGCATTTCATCTTTCTTCTCAAGTAGATTTACAAGCTCAGAGCACTCTTCCTAAGATCATGTGAAAGCAGTGTGTGTTTTCTTTTAATTTATCAGCGTTTTTCGACCGCGTTATTTATAGTACTGAAAAATGTAAGAAATAGGATTTGAGGCCTAGATGTATCATACTGTAAATAGAAATAAAGTATAACTGAACACATGCACATCTTTTGATGTCTCTTTTACTTGAAGAAAAATTTGCAACCAACCAATCAGAATTTCTATTGCTGTCACTTTACTGTCAAGGAAAGACCCTTTTTCTCGTCGTGTCCGCCATCTTGGAACTGAGAACGAGGCTGCGAAAGTAAGTTTTCCCGCCAAACACAAGTGTGCTAAGCCACATGCGTCTCTAGGCCCGCGGGAAACCCGCGTCACTTTTCGCAGCTGTCTAAACAAATCATCCTCGATAGAATAAAAAAACCAATAACATTCGACGCTCTTCTCGCTAAATTCATCGCTGGAGGAAAGAAGTATAGCATTAAATGGTAAGCTTACAAAATTTATAATATAAAGCAGTTCAATTCAAGCTTAAATTATAAGCAGCTGATTTAGACTTACTGCTTTTATTGATCGACAAGAAACACATGTCTATACATTTCGTCTTGCGGAGAGTCTTGTTCGGCAATACGAAATTAAAGTCAGTAATAAGTCTAAAGTGAATTTAGTTACGATAAATACTTAATTGACCTAATAGTGAAGTTTTGGAGTGCTTTAGCCACATATCAGTCTGTTTTTTCCTCGCCATACAGATTTCGACTCGACTGTAATTCACGAAAGGGCGAACCACCAGCCTCGACCAAACTTGAATGATTTGTCGCAGAAGCCGAACGAGCAAACGACAGTTTTGCGATTAGGTATGCTTTATGATAAAATTTACATAAAGTAGACTATTTACACGATCTAATTCTTTGAAAGCCAAACGCACGAGTGAAATTGTGGTGTCATTTCCAATGCGGAGCTTGCAAGTGAACTAGCCATTTCAATTTTTTTTCCAGAAATTTCCATTGATACCATTTGGTAGAATATGGTTTTCAGTCAAGACTCGTGTTCTACAGTGATATCGATAACCAGCTGCAGGTCGTCAAATAATTCTTAGTCCTGTCTACTTGAATCAGTTGTTCTTAAAAGGTAAATACGTCAAGGACCTTTTTCATTTAGTTAACGCAGAAGTTTGCTTTGGTAGTGTGACAACAACAACAACAACAACAACAACAATACCAACGGCAACAAATTGTCCATAGGTTAGCAGTTCTTTAGTGCAGCGCTTAAATTTCTCCGGTTTCAGAAGCTAGCTTTAAATGATATGACGTATTAGAGTTTTGCCGCTACCTTCTTAGTGGGATACATTGCTGCCACTGGCGGATTTAGGAGAGAGGCCTCACCCTTAATGTTTTAAAATATTGGACTAAATGGCCAACCCCCCCTTCCCTATTCAACCGAGAAACCTTAACTACCCCTCCCTACCGRACCTTTATATTTTCACAATAATCCAMTTACTGTATACTGTATATTCGAGGAATTTCGGTGTGCTTACTGAGTTAAGAGAAACATGTGTGTTACGAAAAATTGTCTAAGTCTAGTCCTAGAACAATCTAGAACCTGAAGTCATTCAGCCGTGACCAATTTGTATAAGAACATTCCAGAACATTCTAATCCTTATGTAATTACTCAGATTAGAAACCGTGTCAAACTACTTAATTTAGCTTGTAATAGAAGTTTCTAGAACTTTGAGCCTCATGTATATTAGAGCGAGAGTTTCTTCTGTAAGAGAAATTGATTCAAATTTGATGAAGCTTAGTGCTGTAAATTCGTGAAGTTATCTTACGGAAATAAATTAGTTTGTTGCTGTTACCGGCGATCCTGAGTTCTGTCTGGAAACAACCCTGCTCTACAACGATACTCGTAACAATGTGCTTATGTTTGAAGAAAGATGTTAAAGTACAGCCTAGGAGGTTTGTATTAATTCGCTCAAACTTCTACGAGTCTTGTTAGTACACCTACAAAATGATTTCCATTTTCTTTACAAAAGTTCCTATCAAGAACTTTTTCTGCCTCGGGGTTTTGCGTCAATCTGAGAGCGCATTTCTATTAGACTGTTTTTATTAACCTTGTAGTGAAAAAGTCCGGCCCTATCCCCCACTCGGGGGCAAGGAACTAAGATTAAGAAGTGAAAAAGTACTGTGCGCCACCTAAGAATGGAATAAAACCATTATGAATCCGGTTCCTCAATTACTGGTATCTCACGCCAGGCTACCGCACCTCCTGACGATACCCTTACAACCATGGTAACCAGTCTCGATATCTGAGTGCGTGCAGGCTCTACAAGCAACTGATTAGTAGATTTCAACCGTTTTACTTACTGGTATGCATTTGGTGATGTTAGACTCCAGATCTCATGTTACCATTACCAAAATAGTACATTCAAAATTGTATATCTCCCAAATGTGACCACGCCGTTGACCTCTTCAGAAGACGATGCCTTTGAAGTTGTTGCGAAATGTAAATAGTTGTTGTTGTACCCCTGACCTGTACAACTACACCGCAGAGTTCTACCCCACCAAGAGAATTTCATTATCTTCACTGCACTGCACGGAGGACAAAACATTGACAAGACAACCAGTCATGGGGTCTGTGTAATTCATTAATCTCCAACACAGACGTTTTTTTTAGGTAGACTACAACAAAACAAAGATAAATCTCTTAGTGTGCATTTAAAGTGATGAAACACGGGGTGATTAAAATTTAATATGTTATTTCAAAGAGCAATTAATGGCATGGGGGAGAAATTGAACGAACGAAACAAGGAACACTGAATCTCTGTTGTCAATTTACTCATTAAAGTTTGGATCCTCAAAAACGAATATTGAAATAAAACAAGACTGTTCAGTGCAATCATGTTGA